AATAATAATAAAAAAAAAATATATTAAAAAACAAACGATGCCCACTGAAATTGTAGTAGCGAACATCCTGTATAGTGTACGAAAGAAAATAAAATTTTATTGTATTCACATTTTATATCGTTCAGTTTGTCGAAAAGTCGTGCGCTAATTCACAGCTCACGATATAATAATTAACAAATTAATTAATTGTTTTTGTCCTCATTATCATCATCGACTTATTCTTAGAAAATAATCGTTATAATAAATACACATTTAGCGAGGAAAAGAGAGGCAATGCGGATAAAACAAAAAATAATAATAATCTTCTAGGAGTACTATTTAGATATTGTATAAACACCATCCATTCTTGTTCTGGAAACAGAATGAGAGAAAACTTTAGTTCGAAAGAGAACGGTGTTGCTACAACACTAACCTCCTCTTCGGAGCCACACATGCAATATACACACATATTGTATTATAATTATTATTATATGTTGTTCTTTGTGTTATGTTTACTGCAGTAGAAAACTATAATCTTTGTTTGCTTACGGTCGGCTTTCAATTTATTATCTTTTTTTTTGTGGTAATAATAATTTTAAAAAACGGTTTTCTAAAAATAAGTGCCGATAGCGGTGCTTTTCTTTTTTTTTTTTTTTTTCGGCGCGGAAGAGAACAAACAGCAGAGAATATATAACAAAACTTCGATCTCGGAATTAATTCGGGAGCCTAAAAGAAGGAATCTAACTATCTATTTATTTTACTTTTTCGTGGGGGTTCCCCGTTGAGTCAGACCCTCAAACCTCTTGAACGTGTAATTTATGAAGACCCAGTCTTTGTACTGTACCTCGCCGTCCTGGTTCGTTGGAGCAGATGCTATTAAAAAAAAAAAAAAAATTGATACGTGTACCCATGTACGCGCATAGAATTATTAATTCACATATTTATTTGGTCGATATATTTCTAAAATAATTGTGTATTTATTTAAAGAACTAGATGAACCCGTTCAAATTTGTCGATGGTGTACAGCACTTAATTTTAATGGCTACAACATTAAATGTGTATATATGCAACCAACTGTGCAACCGATTACACATATATAGACATTTAAACCCGCCCACTTCCTTGCAACTATTTGATTTCGCTTACAGTACGTCAAAAATAGCGCATATTAATTAAAAATTGTGATTAAATGATAATATCGTGAATGTCGAAAGTAGAAACGTTAATTAGTTTTATCATTTAATCAGACGTTTTAATAGTCAGCTAATTCCAAAATATTGTATTATGAAAGGTCGATCTTTACGATTTGATTTAACATATTTTAAACCACCACCAATAAAGTCTGATCATACTGTCGAATTTTCGTCAGCTCTGCGGACGTAACCTTTTTTTCTTATTAAAATTTTATTCTCCACGCCCCAAAAGAAGTGTAATCGGTCAACATTGATAGTATCGTTTAATATTGAATTGAGAACTAGCGGATTTCAATTTCCATAAGAATGACTATGATGTCATAAAAACCCCAAGATTTCTTCGACTTTTTAACAGTGCAGACAAGGGTAGGAGATGAGGTCATAGGAAATGTGAAGTCAAAGAACATGCTCAGAAGGAACCTAGTGAAACGTTAGAAATAACCCAAAGTTTTCTCCCTTTGGGCATACAGATTACATAAGCAACAACACCAAAAACAACAAAGAAGAGTGTGGGTCATACAGGATCAAATGGAAGACATGAAAGCCCCGAATAGAATATTTTTAATTTATCGTATTCTTGGGGTTTGGCATAGTTAATTACGTACCGAAACGAATTTTAAATGTATTTCTTAATATTTCAAATAAAAAAGTATTAAATAAAAAAACTCACGAATTTCGAGTTTGACATCAGGGAATTCGTCGAAGTTCGACGTGTCATCGATCGATTTGACTTCCACTGGTATCGCAGCTGGTCTTTCGCGTATGTGCTCCCAATCGACTCCCCTAAAAAAGGGCACAGACTTCAGTTCTTCGATTCCTTTCTGGGAGCCTAATCGCCTGTCTGACTCACAGCAAAACCTGAAAATGACATCAATTTATAGCATAGCTGGCCTTTTTTTATCTGTAATATATCGAATGCATACAGCGATAATGATTTAAAAATCCTGCCAAAAATTAATTTNCAAGAAATAAGCAACGCCGTCTTTAAATTAGGGGTTGAATGTGTAACCTGTAATTTTCTGGGTATAGGACAATTACACCCCTAAAAATTATTACTGTTACCTACAAATCTGGAATAATTTTTTCGAATGTCCGTGAAAATATGAACTTGAACTATTTGCGAGACTTTCTAGGATACTTTAAGGTAAAGAAAAAATTGGTTTTGATAGGAAAGAATGGATGTGTGTGTTCAATCGGTCTTAGGACTGATGACCTTATGATGATGATGACTATCGAAAAGGGCATACCTTACTGCATAAACCAACATTTTTTAAAAATCCTATATAGTAAATCTAAATGCGTCAAAAGAGCCACAACATGAACTTCAATTAACATTCGCATAAATTAACGAAAATTGACATCACTTACCGGTACAGTTTCAATGTTCGTTTAAGTTTAATATAAATTTTGTTTTATCTACCGGAAAGAGCACACCCTGTTGCATAAAATGCTATTTCCAAAAATCCCAGATACAATTTGTGAAATTGTCATAAAGATCTACGAATATCAACGAAAACTGAAGTCACTTTGCGGTACAGTTTCTACATTTTTTTATTTTACTTTCTAAATATAATTTCAGTACGACCCATGAAAATTTGAATTTTGTTCGATTTACCAAAAAAAGGATTAACTTTACAGGGCCGTAGATCCTAAAGTAAAGTACCCAATGAAAGTCTGCTTGAATTATTGGAAAGAACAATGATTCATACAACAACGTTTAAAATTTTTAACTCTGCCAGATAGACCACAATACTTTCAGAAAAAAGAAAAAAAGCAGGGTCGTATTATTTGTTATTATGTCCATCAGGAGCAGATTTTGAGGAATAGAGTGACAGTTTTAAAGTTTCAAAATAAACTTTTTTAGTATGCAATTCTTATTGTTCTGATCCTGCTTTAAATTTTTCATAATATATATGTGACAATCAATCGTTTGTTAAATTCAAATTGTACCCCCAATAATCTTTACCTTCTACTGCATTCCGTAAGAATTTGTTTGAACCATATCATGCACGTATGTACACTACAACTGAATTAAATTCAACATTCATATAAATATTTGAGGATGCACCACGCTTTACTTTACACGATAAAATTTGCACACTTGTTGGCTTCTCACTTGTTGTTCACTTGAATTATCTATGACTTGAATTGATAATGTGTCTTATATAATCTATGTCTACGGCAACGGTTAATCTATTGTATACGACAACAGTTTGTCTATGGCAACGATAATCTATGGGTAATGGTTTTATTGTCTATGGGTTTTATAACCTATAAAAGCCTATAACCTCGAAAGTTCCTGTGCTTCAATCTGCATCAATTTCTTTTCTTTTTGCATGTTTTTTAAATCATTATTAACGAGTGTACAATAATTATACGGTTATTGTTGTCTGTAACCACTTGTGTTAAGTAAAACGAGTTATTTGTGTGTTTCATCATCTAAAATTATGGCTGATGTAATATCGAATTCAGTAAATGAGAATGTTGAAGGTTCGGCTCCAAAAACCGCTAAACAGTTAGAAAAGGAGGCCAAAAAACAAGCAAAGTTAGCAAAATTGCAACAAAAATTAGAAAAACAGACCTCTTCTCAACCAAAAAAGGATTCTAGTGAGGCAAGTGTTGCACATATGTTTCATTGTAAAATCATTGAAGCATTTACTTTTACAGAAGAAAGAAAAAAAAAAGGAGATTAAAGAGTCTGCTGAATATACTATAGCAACTCCTGCTGGACAGAAAAAGGATGTCAGTATCTCTTTACCTGATTCTTACAGTCCTAAATATGTGGAAGCAGCTTGGTACAGCTGGTGGGAAAAGCAGGGTTTTTTTAAACCAGAATATGGAGTAAGTTAGTGTATTTATAAATATCTACTATTGTAAGATATTTGTCATGATTGTAGCGAAAGTCTGTATTGGAGAACAACCCAAAAGGAAAGTTTGTAATTATTATTCCTCCTCCAAACGTAACAGGGTCTCTCCATTTGGGTCATGCATTAACAAATTCAATTCAAGATGCCTTAGTAAGATGGTAAGCATATCACACTGAATAGTGAACATTTATTATGAAAGATACTCTTAGGAATAGAATGAGAGGAAAAACGACACTTTGGAATCCTGGTTGTGATCATGCAGGCATTGCTACTCAAGTAGTTGTAGAAAAAAAAATATGGAGAGAGGAGAAGAAGACAAGACATGATATTGGCCGAGAGGCATTTATTAAACGAGTGTGGGATTGGAAGAATGAGTAATTTAGTATTATCTAAGGTGGCAACAATGTTTCTTTTATTTTTTGTTTAGGAAAGGAGACCGTATCTATTTGCAATTACGTAAGATGGGTTCCTCTTTAGATTGGGACCGCGCTGCTTTCACCATGGAGCCAAAGCTTTGCCGGGCCGTTACTGAAGCCTTTGTTCGTCTCCATGACGAAGGAGTTATTTACAGATCGAATAGATTAGTGAATTGGTCTTGTACATTGAAATCAGCTATTTCAGATATAGAGGTAAATGCATACTTATATGTATACTTTATCTGGATTTCTAAACTTCAAATTTAATTTATGTACTTACTCATTCAGGTAGATAAGATCGAATTGCCTGGCCGTACTTTCCTTTCCATTCCTGGCTACTCCGAAAAGGTAGAATTTGGTGTTTTGGTATCTTTTGCTTATATAGTTGAAGGTTCAGATGAGAGACTGGTGGTGGCAACAACGCGCATTGAAACGATGCTCGGAGATACTGCGGTGGCGGTGCACCCTGAAGATGACCGATATAAACATCTACATGGTAAATATGTTATACATCCCTTTTGTGATCGAAGAATTCCTATAGTCGCCGACGACTTCGTCGATAAAGAGTTCGGTACAGGGGCCGTGAAAATAACACCAGCCCATGACCCCAACGATTACGAAGTTGGACTGAGGCATAAGCTTCCATTTGTTACTATCTTCGACGACGATGGTAATATCATTGGTGATTATGGAAAATTTACGGTAAACACAACATAATACTAAAAAATATATAACAAAATCTCTATTTTTCGTACAGGGAATGAAACGTTTTCAAGCCCGTAAAGAAATCCTCAATAGTTTAAAGGAAAAAGGACTTTATGTCGAAACAAAAAATAACCCGATGGTGGTACCGGTATGTAGTAGAAGCAAGGATATAGTAGAGCCTCTTCTGAAGCCCCAGTGGTATGTTAAATGCTCAGAAATGGCTGCATTAGCTGTCGAAGCAGTGCGTTCAGGGCAACTTAAAATTATACCCGAGTTCCACATCAAAACTTGGTACCACTGGATGGAGGGTATTAGGGATTGGTGCATTTCAAGGCAGCTTTGGTGGGGTCATCGTATTCCGGCTTATTTCGTGTCATTCTCAAAGAATTCCAAAATTCCTGCTGGCAAGGTAGGTAATCGTAATTGAAAGAAATTTTAATTACGTTTTCATTTTCAATGTTTTAATGATTTTTAAACATCACTGGTGAAAACATTAAGCAAATTCATAAGAATATATAAAGTTCATATTTCGCATTTATTAAAATATTTTAAGAGTTTAGTTATTGTATGTAAAAATTTTAATAAAAGTTTAAACGATTTGCGTGAATATTTTTTGGAAATTTTCAGGAATCAGACGATACTTACTGGGTATCAGGACGCGATGAAGCAGAGGCTTTGGAGAAAGCTTCTAAAAAGTTTAATGTGTCAAAAGAACAATTGATTTTACGAAGGGATGAAGATGTGTTGGATACATGGTTTTCCTCGGGTCTGTTTCCATTTTCCATCTTCGGCTGGCCAGATGAAACAGACGATTTGAAGGCATTCTTTCCAGGGACTTTACTTGAAACTGGTCACGACATTTTATTCTTCTGGGTCGCCAGGATGGTCTTTTTTGGGCAGAAATTGTTGGGAAAGTTGCCATTCAAGTAATTAACTGCTGATAACTAATAATGAATGAAGAGTAGAAATAAAATTCATTTTTAGGCAAGTTTACTTGCACCCAATCGTCAGAGACGCTCATGGTCGTAAAATGAGCAAGTCTCTTGGTAACGTTATCGATCCTATGGATGTAATTAAGGGGGTGTCGCTCGAAGAACTCCACCAACAGTTATTGGATGGGAATCTAGATACTAAGGAAATTGAGAAAGCTAAGGCTGGACAGAAACAGGACTATCCCGAAGGAATACCGGAATGTGGAACTGATGCTTTGAGATTCGCTCTTTGTGCCATGTGTCAAGGACGCGACATTAACCTAGATATACTTAGGGTGCAGGTAAATAAAAAGTGAATTACATATTTATTTAAAAGTAATACACATGAATTATAAAAAATAATATATAGAAGTCGCTTTATTATTACTGAGTGTCTTTTTGATTTTAACAGGGCTACAGATTTTTCTGTAACAAAATTTGGAATGCTACGAAGTTCGCACTGACGTACATAGGAACCGATTTCGAGTTGACACTAAAAGGAAGTCAGCTTACAGGCAAGGAGAGTCCTATGGATTTATGGATGTTAAGTAGACTGGCGTGTGCTGTAACCATTGTTAATTCAGGATTCGAAGTTTACGATTTTACCCAAATAACCACAGCAATTTATAACGTTTGGCTCTACGAGCTATGTGACGTTTATTTAGTAATATTTCCAAACAAATGTTACTAATTATCGTTAACTTTGATATCGTTTTTTTCTTTCTAGGAATATTTAAAACCTGTGTTTACCAGCGATGATAAGGATGCCATTTTGGCAGCAAAGATGACATTATACAGGGCGTTGGAGATCAGTTTGAGGCTTCTTTCACCTTTTATGCCCTTCATTACCGAAGAGTTGTACCAAAGGTTGCCCAGACCTCGTGCTTTGGCTCATAGCGTTCCGAGTATTACAGTAGCTGAATTTCCGGAACCTGTGCAGTGTCCCTGGCGTGATGAAAAAGTCGAACAAGAAGTAGAGTTCATTCAGAAGGTGGCAAAAGCCATCAGGTCAACCAGGAGTGATTACAATTTACCAAACAAAACGAAAACGGAAGGTACATTGTAATTATTCTCCATTTTTTTGCAATTAACCTTTCGTTGTTACAGTTTTTGTAAAATGTAGCGACTCTGTTACCGAAGATATCATTTGTAAATATAACGACGCTCTGAAGACGCTGTCGTATTGTTCGCGTGCCGACGTCAATGTCTCTGCTCCCGAGGGATGTACCATTATAACCGTTTCGGACAAGTGCGAGGTTCAGTTGGTACTCAGAGGGCTCATCGATCCGGAAAAAGAATTAGCGAAGATGAGAAAGAAGTTAGGCTTCTTAGAAACCACAAAGATGAAACTGGAGCAAGCAATGACCATTCCCGACTATGAAAAGAAAGTTCCGCAGGAAGTACAGCAGGTCAACAGAGATAAACTGAGTCAAACTGATGTCGAATTAGAGAGAATTCATGCAGCTATCGAAACGTTGAAAATAATGGGATGATGATGTATTTATGTAGTAGTTATGACAATTGCATTTGAATATGTTAATGATAAATGAAATTATTTAAACTTTTAATTTAAAATTACGCGAATTTAAAACTAAAGTGTTATCTGTCTTGAATAAAAGACCATTTTAAGATTCTTAATACTTTTAAAAATATACTACTATTGCAATTATTTATTCTGTATCTATATTTTGCATTTTTTGTAAATCAATATTTGCATTTAAGTAAGCAATTTAAGTTATTTATTAATTATGAAGAATAAATTATGATTAAATAAAAATTTGCACAACATGTATCATTGATGTGTTTTGTTAATGCATAATCACAAAAAGCAAGCATTTACTTCTGTTATTATACGATCTTGAATACATAAAAGCACATAATAAGACGCAATTTAAATCGAATCGTAGAAGAAAAAAATAATTTTCAAAATTAAATTTATAAAAAATATTAAATTTTCAATTTTAAAAATGAACAAATAACTTTCGATATTCGTAATTTTCTTAAATTACATGCATTTCTGTTTAATATATTAAATTTATAAAAATGAAAACTGTTAAATTAACATCGCCCAAAACTGCTTAAAGTGTAAATACCTTGAAAGGAGAAATGGCTATGTCCTGTAAAGTAATTTACTTAAGCACATAGGGTTTTATTTCGTATAAGTTATACACATTTTTCTGCATTAAACATATTTACATGTACAGTTTCGTGTTAGCAAAACCTTCTACAAAATACACTTTATTTTATTTTTAGCCATTATTATTTCAATAAATAACAACCTGCTGCAGTGTGTGAATTGTGTTTTATTTTCAAAAACGAAATCTACCTAATTTTGCACCAAACTGTCAATTATACAATCTATCGGTGCAACAGAAGTGCGTCGTTAGAGAGCTACCATTTTTATACAGCTTTAATAATTTCTTCAAATATATATAAGAAACAGGATTGATATGTTTTTCTAAGCAAACGTCAATTTACCCATTCTTTTACTAAAAACATTTTTTATGAACTACGAAAAATACTTTTTTGCTTTGCTTTAATGAGCTATCGATGTTAGAAAAATAATCTTTAACAGGGCATACTTCTACTATTTCAAATCTTTAAAAGGGATAATGTGACTGAATATTTGACAGTTTTTCTCTTGACGGAATCGATTACTCGAAGAGGTAATATAATTACAAATAACAACTAAAAACTTTTGTTAATTGATTAACGTTTTTCAAGAGTGTTCACAAACGTTCTATTTTTAATTTGTTATCAATTTAGATAATAAAAGTGGTAACGAAAATTTATTTTTGAGAAATTTCTAACATGAAATTTAATTATTATTATCACCGAAGATAAAAAAGGTAAAAAGTAAAAGTATAATGCATTTCTTAAAATAAAAATTCATTTAACAGTAAATTTACTCTGAAAACAAACACTAAAGGAATGAGATTTTTAAAAACTTAATTAGAATTTATCATTTATAAACACTCTTAAATAACACGGTTTGCTTTCTTTTCTAAGACTCGTCAATTACTCCATTCTCTTTGAACTTAACTTTTAAAAAATGTTAATATTTTTCAGAAGATAATATTAGAATAATTTAAAAGGTTTGGGTGTTAATAAGGTTTTTAGTGAACATTTTCTTTTGTACTAAACAGTCATGTAGGAAGGAAATTCTAAAAAATAAAAACTAAAACGGAAATGTTACATTTAAGGACGCACAAAAAGCTTTTTTTTTTCGACTACACTGGAAAATAAATCGAATTAATTATCCCTC